GATTGTCACATCATATTTAATTCGAGTTAAATGACAGAAAGAAAAAAAAACATGTCTAACCATATTCTTATGCATGCTCTCTCATGCTCTTATGGGTCATTAGACAACATTCAGTAGTTTTTGGATAGGTGGTGAAGGGTGTTTTATTTATTATTTTCAAACTTTGCTTGAGGCCCATGAACCCAGGCTGTGTTTACAGGCTGAGAGAAATAGCTTAAATCTGCTGGCGTCAATGCTGATTCATGTCAAATTGAGTGGCAGGTGACCCGAGAGCCGGCAGCCAGACAGTGAGACGGATTACAAGTGAGCAAAACGCCAACAACCTCTGGCCTGCTGTGGGGCAACAGATGACAGCAGAGGAGGGCAAGAGGTGGAGAGCTCTGTGTGCAAACCCCCCCCCAGCTCTCCATCTATCCATCAACCCATCCCCCTCTTGGCCACTATCCATTCAAGCTTACTGATAGACAAGGGGAAATGAGAGCATTCACTTGTTAAAATAATACAGCTATGTCAGATGTTGAAGTAACTTGTTACAGATTCGTTGTTTTACTTTTTAAGTGTCACTTCTACCAAGACTATAGTGCATCTGGGTAGAGTTAGTTAGACTCCGTAATGTTACAGCACACATACAAATCACCAGATTTTAAAATTGCTTGTCAATCAAAAAGGTCATTGTAGTTACATTATGCGGTCGTAGCAGCAGAAATTACATTGTAGCCAAATACAAGTGAGGAATAAGTGTTTGTGGCTTCAGGACTAACAAGGCTGCAAGTCAGGAAGCGGTCCATTAATAGAAAGGTGTGAACACTATATGCTCCTAGTGAAAAATGTGGACAAGAAGAGAGAGGGAATGAAAATGCTCCTGCTCGCCTACAAATGTGCAGTGGCAAAACGTAAGCATGCATGTGCCCTTGTTGACGGCTGGTTGCAGCAGAGCCAACAAACCCCGAATTCTCCTGACAGCGTCTGAGGGGCCCGAATCCAATCCCCTCCAATTCCGGTTGTTAGTTTACAGCGAGGACGACCTTGCACGGTGCTGACAGTCAAATTCTTTCCAGGCTGTTTCCTTGGATTTTATAAATGTTATATCTCGCTGTGCCACGATGTTACAAAAAACTGCATTAAATCGTTTGCAGCTGAAAGTCGATAAACTGAAACGATTAAAAGCATCAATATTCTATAATGTCTGATTAAAAAAATCAGCTTTCGAAAAATTTATATTAGTAAAAATAAGTAATAGTAATTTCGCACCCAAAATGTCCCCATCTGGACCAATCAGCAACAAATGTGTCACTTTGTTTTGAAATGTAATTTCCCCTCGGACCAATCAGTGTAATTCTGATTGCCGAAAAGCAGCGGCGATATGAATCATTTTCCACATTTTGTCAAAGTGAGATCAGTCATGTCTGATGTTTTGTGTCTGACACATAAATGAGCAAACAGATGTTGCGCTGTTTCTATTGGGCTCATATGTGTAATTCGGAAAATCTAAAAACACAGCTGTTAGTTTCATCATTTTCAAGATTTAGCTCGATATGAAAAGAAGTGGCTTCACGACTCTTATGTTGCATTAAACTTACCTTTAACATATTTAAAAGAGCATCTTCACCCTGGCCCCATGTTACTGTCAGGCCAGCAGAGCATTTTAGTGTCCATCAGCTCATTGTGCTTTCTGTTTTGGTTTTCTCTGACTGTTTCCATCAAATTTATTTAAAGCTGCAAGCAGTTGCTTATAAACCCAGGCTGTAGCTCATATCAGCAACAAACTGGTGAACCTTGGCATCTAAAGATCCTGATAACTTATTCCCACAAGCTTATAACCTTGAACAAATGCAGCTGTCGTCTCCTGGATGTGCAAATAGGCAACTGCTTGTTCACAAATGCGCCTTATCAACTTTATAGGGAAATGATAACAAGGTGTGATCCTAAAGTCCTGCACCTCCAACTATAAAATAATAAAAATAAATGAACTACCTGGGCCCTCCAAAGTTATGTCTTTGTGGACGTTTGGACCACCTCCAGCCTAGCTTCTGTTTTTAGAGCTCTCCTTGGAAACGCAGCTCTGACCTCTCGCATGTGCTCGGCTGCAGTTTCGCTACACGCGTCAAATATGAGCAGAGAGCAAACATCGACTTCTGTGTGAAATGGGTTCGACTTTCAGGTTGAGAATCATCCCTGGTGGATGAGCTCCGGCTATCATCCAGAGCCCAAACAGGAGTTTTGGGCTTTAGATGGAGCATCAGGTCAAGAGTATAACCAGGAGAACAGCTGTGCACTGTGAATTCATCTCCCACAGTCAGACTGTCAGTGCAGAGTGTTGCTGTCATTCAGTAAAAATTCAGTAGAAGCAACTTCATCTGTAAGGCACACTGCGACGTCATCACAGCGCAAGACGTTGTTCAACTATCAGCTGACCGCCCTTTTTTCAAAGTTTAGTCTTGTTAAAAGTGAACTCAACACATTTGTTTGGATTTTTAGCAAGATGACATCTGTGTACAAGAACGGTTTTATTGTATCCTTTTATTTCTTAGAAGATAATTAAATCAACAAAACAACAAATGGAGAGAAGAAAAATGTAAATTTGGCCACCCACAGTCAGTCTTTTTAACCAATAAGATAAATAATCTGTATGCTACTTCACTCACACCATTGGTAATGCTGATATTAGATGGTAGTAAGTTCACCAGGCAATAAATGAGACATAATTAACTGATAGATAAGAATAAGTATCATAGATATGTTGTTAATAATTATAACAGGAGGTCCAATAATACTGCTGGCTACTACATGGCTGTCGGTGCAGCACCGTTCATTAACCAAATAAGCTGTCAATCAATTTCTGTGGTTCTGGTTTTGTTTTAGATCAATTTTGACTGAAATAAAATTGTCATTTCAACCATGTTTGCTTGATGGCCACGCCAACATAACCTTTTCTTATTATCCACCATGCTCACCTGATTTAAATCCTTGCTGAAAGGCCACCATGACATAGTGGACGTGATACTGCACGCATCAGGGATGCACAAGTCCACAAGACCTCCAAGTAGCAATCTAAAAATAGCAGCTAAAGTGGGGCAGAGCTGCCCAAAGAGCCTTCAAGTGAAGACCAGCCAAATTTATCTCAGGTATGTTTTTCATTTTTATGATTGCACCAAGTTTAAGACTTTTTGCATCGTCCCTAAGCAGACAAATCAGTGAAGTCTCGACTTTCCTCTCAGTCCTCACGTGACCACAACAGCTAGCGCAACAAACTAGCTAATTTTCTACCAAAGGAGCTGCTTTATTTTCTGAATACTTTTACCATATCATTACAAATATGTCACGTATTGATGGGTAAGTTACAGTAAAAGTCAAAGTCTGCCCGGTTGACAGCAGGCTCTGGGCTGTTTACAGGTGTGAGTCGTCATATAAGCTGCTGTTTTTTCACTGTAGCTAACATCAAGCTGGAAATTACTGCAACAATACATCTGTGGGTGCTTAGTGCTACAGGAAGCTGTAGTCATTTGTAATCTTTCTCCTTCTGGCACTGACTGTTTAGTTCAGTTTATCTTTGAAATCCCCTTGTCACACACACTAGCACTCTCTGGTATCAGAGCCTTACAAAAAAAAAAGAAAAGGTTTCTGTTGGCTGGAATGTGACAAAAAGTGACTGAATTTCTGCTTGCTCCCAGCGAAATCTTCATATCTCCTGCTAGGATATGTTTTGTTCTTAACCCGAGTGTCTGTTATCGGCATTAAAGCTCAGGATGTACTTGGGAAGCTCAGTTTCACATCTCTGGACCCGGCAACCATTTATCTTCATTAACTTGTAGTTTCATGCATTTTTATTTGACAACATTAAGATTTGATCTGAATAAGCTTAAAACTTTGCTTCACAGTTTAAGCACTGCACTTAATGCACATGAATTTAAGAAATGGGTTGGGCAGTTTTAAGTTTTAAGACCACAGCTGATGCAACACAATAGAGATAAACTGTACCAAGCAGTTCATTACTGTTGTTATATAAATGGCTGCCTATATTGCCTACAATTCCTAAGCAGACATGAGGACCTGCTATAAATATCTGATAAGCTGACTTCTTCTGTATCTACACTCAGAGATGTTCTAGCTTGCAGTCCGATTTTAAGCTGATATAAGTGACAGAATCAATGGGCACAACTCCACCTCTCTCTCAGGTCACACCAAAGACTGTAAATAGAAGATAGAAGGTGCCACCAACTTACTATGTTGATTTAAGAAAATTGAAGCCTCGTGTTTTTAACATTGTAGCCACAGTCATTGTTTTTTATGGATCCAGGTGGGACTATATTTAGACAAGATGGAGAGTTCAGTTATCAGCTAATGCTAGCAAGCTTGGTTAGTAAGGTGCAAAGGTATGGTTCAATAACCTCAGTTAGTTAATGCAACACCTACCAGTGGGCTTGTCAGCACCCGCCTGTCACTTAAAGTGCCCATTCCCCTGGTAATGAATACACTGATCCTTAGTGCAATTTAAATGGGTGAATAAGAAAGAAATTCACTCCCTGTACAGCCTCAGAAATCAAAAAGTTACATTTGTTTCTGCTGCAAAAGTGGACTTTTTAAAATGGGAGCTGACAAGTCTATGTGGACTTGAGCTATGACATTTGTACAGTGAACACTGTTCAATTTGTGTATAGTCTCAGTTGCTAGTTTCATATTGTGTTGATTACTATATGACAGCAGTCCCCAACCCCCGGGCCATGGGTCGGTACTGGTCCATGAGTCGTTTGATACTGGGCCACGACAGTTGAGACTCAGGTGTGAGATTTAAGGTTTTCAGGGTTTTCAATTGGCTTTTATCTTTTTCTTTTTTTTAGCGTTAACTCAGTTTCCCTGGGTCTTTTCCCGTGTGTTATGAATAAATCTTTTTATTGGTACCAGTACTGGTTTTATTTTGTTGTATTTATCTACGATACTTTAAAGGCCGGTCCGTGAAAATATTGTTGGACATAAGCCGGCCCGTTGCGCAAAAAAGGTTGGGGACCACTGCAATATGATATTTATTTTGTAAACTGACGTCCTTGTTAGAGTGAAAAAGGCCCTGCTTTAGGGCGGGACCAAAGCAGACAAATGAGCATGTAGTCTTTTCAAAACTCCAAGATGGCGTCATTCAAAATAAATGGTTGTAGCCATCATTTATGTACAGTCTATGCAGTGTTCAAATGAGGAACCTTCAAAGTCCATTCACAAATGTCTTTGCATGGTGTAAATCATTAATGAGGTTACACTGAAGTGAAAAACAAACAAACACAAAAACATTTGGGATTCATAGTCTTAAAAGAGTGCATCAGACCTGTTTCTGTATCATTATTGACAGACAGAAACACATTTTTCATCATCAACATCTGGATTTTTATATTGCTTTCAGTTACACTTTTATGTGGGTTCAGAAAAAGGCACCTGCTGTTAAAATTCCAGACTAGACAATTTTTTCCTCCAAAAATTTTGCTGCATTGACATTAATTTTATTATCAATTTCCTGGTTTTACTGGCCCTGTTTTTTTTTATTATTGTAGCTGCATTCCCTGTAACCATTTTTTTTTTAATTTTACACAATTGAATAATCCACTGAGTCAAATTTGGACATTCCCTTTTCATTTGTCACAAGAATCAATATGACGTGTTTCCAGATATAATTTCTATTTACGGCTGAACCACAGATTACTCAAAGCACAATCCTGTTAGATGAGTTGCACACGTTCCTACCGCCATATTAAAGCCTCCTAATAAGCCTAGGTGTCACCCCTGTCTCTGGTGTCTGGCCACTTTCTTCCTTTTCTCTGCGAGTCCAGAGATGCTTGGGAGGCACAAGCAGCCAGTCGGCAAGAATTAGAGCAGCGTCCGTGATTGTGCTGACGTCTGCAAGGGGCTAGGCTGGAGATTAAGCCCAATAAAAATGTGTGATTTGTTGCTTTCATATTTGGAAGATGTCAGCTTCAATTTGAGCTAGCACGCTGCCTTGAGGCAGGCTGGGTGAAAAATATGAAGGATGCGCTGATGAACTGCTGGCAATCAAGTGTTAGTTCTCTCATCCACTATATGATGGCAGTGAAAACCTCCACACATTGTTACACAGCGGCTTGGCAAAATACTGATGGCATCATTTTGTTTATTATAATACATTTCAGTTTAAAATGAAGGGGATTTAATGTATTTAATAATCTTTTGTTCAGTCATCCATTTACACTTTTGCCAAAGGCTTCTCGTGCTCCCACAACTACCCCAATTTGGCAACTTTAAGCCGCCCTGTTCAGCGTTCGCAAGCAACATGCAAACATTTGCTGGTTCGTTTTTGCCATTTTTGTCGTCCACATTTATATTATTATGACTATCCCCGCTCTTATACATTTCTGTAAACATCTATTAAATGTTTACTTCTAATAAATTCTAATTGTGTTTTTAGGTAAAGTACTACTTAAATTTGACATTTATATTGGAATACAAATGTAAAAGCTAATGAATTATTTACATGCTAAAGTACAGCCCTAAATATCCTGAATGAAGCCGTCTCACTGACAATGACTCAAACATAACAACGTTAGTCACCCATCCTTTTTGGAGCACTGGCAGTAGTGGTGTCTAAAAGACAGAGGGGGGAAAAAAGGGGGAGAAATAATTAAAAAGCCAAATGTGCAAAGATTTAAGATCGCTTGAGCATTATCAGGAGCGTGGCTGGACCGACTGTTTAAGATTCTGAAAGTTTCAGAATATCTCATGCATTATAACTGAAGCACCACCCTGAGTTCCCTGAGTTTAATCCTTTTTGCAAGTGCTTCATCAACCTTCAGCTTTTTTGACAAGACAGAAGTTTCAGCATGTATGATTAATAAGATACAAATGTGCAACTGATATTTGATAAATGACTTTGGTTTCATATTCATGATGTACAATGAATATGCAGCACCAGGGGCTTAGGCCTACTTGATTGATCAAATGTATTCCATTCATCACTTATTTTTGCTTAATTAGCATATTTGAAGCAACACCATTAACAGTGGAGGACTATGGGCTATTTGGAAGATATGATGTATGTAAGGGAGCAGACATACGTGCATAACTCTTTGTCTTGCAGTGCTCATATTCTCAGGAGGTAGAATTCATTAGAAGGCAGATTTTAGAGCTTATTATTAACCACAAAAAGGAGGAAATAAAGATGGAAGGCAGGGGTGTAGCATTAGGATACGTTGTTTTTATCCCTCTACTACTTCTATATTTAGAGTATGTTCTTCGCCATATTTAAAACTAATATCATGTCACCGTGTCTTCAATAGTACATTGTAGGGCAATAAAATGTTCTGATATGTAATATGTGATAGGAATAGAGCAATGCGACGCTCTTTGTTGGAGATTTCTCTGAGGGACGTAATAACCTGAGGACTTTGGGGAGAATAAATGGGAGTAAAGGGAGTTAGGATGTGGGTCATTATAGCTATAAGTTCTAAAGCCCTTCATTAAACACATGAGTTCGTCATTACGCTGCTGCTGCTGCTGCTGCTGTGTGATGAACATTTTGAACCCTCCTCCCTCCCCGCCACCTCCGGTTTACAGGCCAGATGATGCAAGTGAATCCATGCTTGTCTGGCACGGGGCGAAGCAAAGTCAAGCACAGTGTAAATGTTTTGTGTGTATCCAAGCAGGCAAATTCTGATGCACATTTGCCCTATTACAGCACATCAGCATCAGAGAGATGCACGCCAGTGCAAGCAAGGAGCGCACACTTATCATTATTTGATAGCATGTTTAATGACAGATTGACAAAGGATTCGTAGATGCGAGCTGGCGTCAATTTTGCTAAGGTCGCTTATCACTGCATCTGCGACGCAAGTATACTTATGTGCATAATTTGATTTTTCAGCCAAGCCATTAGGACTATTTTAGAAAGTATCTTCAAGGAGGGAATAATAGAAGCACTTTTGGTATTTGGAGTCCGACACTGAGACATTTGCAAAGTCTTAAAACATTTCAAAACAATTTCACAGCTGAACTTTTGTAAAAATCAATGTTATTAATAGTGAAAATAACATAATAAATTGGCTTCATTCCATTTAGGGCGAGGTGTGACCGCATCCACTGTTCACTACATGTTTTCTTAATTCTATTTCTTTTTTCATTAAGAGCAACATGAACGGAGTCATGCTTCATCACTGGGCCATCTACCCAGCGCTAATGTGGAACTGCAACAAATAAAAGCTTATATCGTGTTTATATTAGGTCCACGTATGAGCGCGTTAGCGTCACTGATACGTATGACAACCAGGTTTTTTGTTTTTTTTCCACCGTGCATGTGTCTGTGGGTGTGTCTGTGTTCAGTAATTAGCCATGACATGTTGCATGTAGAATGCAATTAACAGCGTTAATGTATGCAAACACTCAAAATGAATATAAAGCACCCAAAGAATAATGGGGTTATTTCACCTAATTATGATGATTATGGTACCTAAAGAATGTAGGTATTTAATAAATCACGCATTAGAAAGAATAATGTGTATTTGAAAACAGCGGATATGTATTTTGATTTGCACCTTTAAATTATTTCACGATAAGAATCTTATTAACCTTAAAAAATGCACATCCATACGAGCTTTTTGTGTACCAACAATAAATCCCACATTGACTTTGACTTATTAGGGCAAATTATAGCCAGAGACAACTAATTTCCTTCTGTGGCTGCACTGATGACAGCATTTTTCTTTAGTTAGCCTTGGGTAAGTCTCTACTAGGTTGTGCTGATTCTTCAAAATGCACTTGTAGACTAAATATGCTCTGAATAACTGCTGTGGATAGAATTACGGCAAATCAACGTGCATTTGAGATAAAAATGGAAAAAGTATGTGCTGCAAAATGCACAGCCTCGCTTTAATGAACAAAAAAAACCCCAATAGTATTCTCATTGTTTCTCTGCAGAGCATTCTGCTGCAGCTTAAGGACAATGCTTGCTTCAAAAAAAAAAAAAAAAGAAGTAAGTTGCTCCTTTAAAACATAATGGCCCCACAGACAAATCAGAGATCCATCGGCGAAGAAAGGCACTAAATAATTTATAGCTTTAATCTGCTCACTGAGGTGTGTGGTCTTTGACAGTAATTATAAATGCAGGGAGAAATTATAGCTGAATACTTTAACTGCATTAGGAGTCATCTGATGAACAACGTGATTGCCTGCTCATTTCCAACAATAGGGGGCAAGTTGGTGTCACAGCATTCAAATCACCACAGTGCCCATGTGCTTTTTCCCATTTACCATCAAATGTCAGTTGCCTGTTATAAAATAGAGATTTGATGGGTGGAGGTAATTGAGGACTTGATTGCTTGAAAAAAAAAGATGAATTGCATAAAATGTTTATGAATTTAGGAGGCAATTATTTTTAATAGCCTTGAAATAATAGAGCTGGAGGAAATATGTTTAATTGTTATGATACCATCTTGCGGCAGCATTCACAGGAAAGCAATAAAGTCTGACAACAAGATCTTTGAAGTGTATCTAAAAGTCATAAGGTAACAAATGAGTGTGGCGGGCTCTATAGTGTCGTGATGTTGTTCTTTGTCGTGTATAGGTTCTGTGTGGCCTGCGAAGATTTCAGTGAATGTTTCACAGTATTTTACAGGTCCACACATTCAGCTGATACAGTATGAATAACCGGAAAGGCTTTATTGTGTGAATTATATTATTATTGTGAATCATATCAGCTGATTATTATGTGTAAAAGTAGGGAAATAATCAAATTAAGGGAGCCAAAAAATACAAGGCAATCAAATGTTAACTCTTTATTTGAATAAGTAAAAAAAGGTGCAGGTATCACAGGTATCATCTGCCTTTTTGTTATCCTTGTTGCATGAAACACGTTTTTTTTTTCCTTCTAAAATATATTTACATGTGAAAGAGCCTCATTTTGAAACTGTCTAATTTATTTTTGAGTCATGTACAGGATCCGAGTCTAAACTGGTGATTAAATTTTTATTAAAGTGCTTTTCCCCCCCTCGTCTATCGTTGCAACACGAAACATCTTTACATAGCAATACACTGTACAGGTCTGCATGAGTGTGATCGCGTTATCAGGCTACCTGCTTCAACAACTGCACGTCTGTGCGGCTGCACTGTATCACAGAGGTTGTAAAGTACAGTTAGTCATTATTTTGTCTTTGAAATACAATTGAAACTTGACATATCATACAAATAAATAGTAGTCATAGCCAGGGCTATTGCATGCAAACATCAGCAATAATGTTTCTTCAAGCAGTAATACATTTCATTACTGGTGATGCATTTGAGCAGGGTGCAAAAGTATCTCTTAGTGTTTCCTTACACAAATTCTAACCAGTGTGTCTTTGCTGTAATCCATTAATTTTTTTTAAGTCGTTACAATGCACACTACACAATGATAATTGAAAAATGGTTGAAATATCTGACCCGTGTATTGAAATAAAAAGGCAAGAAAAAGGAAAAAAAAAAAGGTGATGGTAATATGAAAAACTACTCCTTGTCCATTTCCACATATTGTGAATGGTTGTCAGGGGATTTGCTGTGAGTTTTACTCAAATGGAGTTTGACTGCATGATTACTTGCAAATGTCCGACAGCAGAGCTTGCATTTGAATTTTGAGTCAATGTCCTCCTCCGCGACTAGAGCCTCTGTGGCTCTGACGCTGAGGGCCTTCGACAGTTCTGGCTCCTCTACCTTCGTCTGATGCTCTACCGGCATTTTGCACATGTCTTTGATTTGGAACCCGAGATGGGATTCCAGATGGGAAATGAATGTGGTGGGTGACCTAAACTGGGAAGCGCAGTCATTGCAGTAGAAGACTGGGTGGCCCGTGTCCATGTTCTTCAGGAATTTGGTCCCTCCCGTTTTCCGCAGCTGGTACTTTACATTTGCTAACCAATGGCTTATGGTAGTCATGGACAGGCCAGTGAATTTAGAGATGTGCATCCGCTCCTGAGGGCCGAGGTCCGAGAGCAAATACTTTCCTTCAGAGGTCTGGAAGAGGCTGGAGGCAAACTGAGCTTGCAGGATGAGAAGATGGCGTGGATTCCAGTTTGACTGTCTACCTTTACGCTTGTGGACGGAGTACACCTCCGCTGAGACATCTTCAAAGCGCCTGACATCCGATTCCAGTTTCATAGATGGAATCCTTGATGGTATTGATGGTTTTGGAGTGGTGGCTTTCGGAAGCACTTTAACCATATCGGCGATATCAGACAGAGCATATTTCTGTGGCATCGGTGCGGAGGGCTGCATTAGCAGGGAGCTCGCCTTGTTGTGTTTAGATTTCGTCAGATCTATTGGCTGGTCATCGTTAACAAAGAGAAAGGGGTTATCAGGCTTATTTCTTACAGGATTTCTGAGCATTAAAGCAGACTTCTCGCTGCTACGATTAATGTCCGCAAACATAGACTGTGTGTGAGCTGATAGTTTATCTACTCTTGAGTTATTGGGCTTATTTGCTTTCCCCAGATGATTGTTCAGAACTGACTGCAGTGCACTAAGAGGGTTTATGCCAAGTATATCCGGAGTGTCACTGAGAGGCTCTGAAGTAGTGCTGCGTCCATTGCTGGCAGTGGGGCTCGGTGTCTTGCCTCTGTCGGAGAAATCTGGGCTCAACTTTCCTTTGATCGCTTCACTCCCTTCATTCACACAGTCTGTATCAAGCTTTGAAGAGGAAGAGGAATCGTCCTGACAATCGCTGTCATCATTCTCCACCAGATCAAACTTAATATTCTGACTTTCTTTACCATCGCTAATGCCAACCTTTTCTTTTTTGATGTCCACAGTTTGATGCTGTCCCTGGGGAGCCTCAACTCCCACAGCACTGTGGTATAACTTCCCCTTTGGGGCAATCGGTCTCAGCTTGTGGTTGAACGTCTGCTTTAGCTGAGTAGGTGGAGATGCTGAGAGAGGGGCGCTTTTGATGATGCCAGAGAGCTGATAGGCAGCATGAATGCTTGGGTAGGCACTCCAGCTCGGTGTCCCTGTTTGAGCTTTATTTATGGCAGAGGCCACTGTGTTGGCTAAAGATTTAAGAATGTCCCCTCCTCCACCTGAGTCCTGTTCAAGATCCTCCTCACGTAGATAAGGGTACTTAAAAGTCCCATTGCCGGCCTTTTGATCCTCACTCTCTTGCTTGTCATCTTTAGTATCACTTTCTTCCATTTTGTCTGAAGTACCTTCCCCCTGGCTATCCTTCTCACCGTTCCCTGGGGAAGGATTTTTTGGAGACGCTTTTTCTCCTTCAGTGTCACTGACAGCAGGCTCAGCCAAACCCTGGATCTTCTCTATGGCCAAGGGGTCAAGGGCTAACTGTTTGCCCTTTTTAGAAGCTGAGTTTGTAACTTTGATGAAGTGTCCAGTAACCATCATATGTGTGGTCAGTTGCTGAAGGGTGTCATGGGAGCTTCCACACTCCATGCATTTCAGAATCTGAGATTTGCACGTCTCAAACTGCCAGGTGTAACTCGCTCCATTCTGATATCCATATCGATTGTTGTTGGCGTTTGCAATGCTGGCAGCTCGTTGTGCCTCAGTGTAGCCAGACACACCAGTCGTGGAGTCAGGGGAGCAGGGCCTCGTTTCGAAAGCCCGTTTCTTTGCTGGTGGCAGTAATTTGGGTGTGATTACTGGGATCGGCTCTTTTAAAGGCACTTTTTGGTAATGCTTAGTTTTAATCATATGGACGCTCAAATCCTGGAGCGAGTCAAAAGAATGGCCACAAAACATGCACTTCAAAACTTTCTGCGCATCCTCCTTCCCTTCCATGTCTTGCAAATTTCGTTTCCTAGATTTGGAGGACGAGGCAGAGGAATTACTCTGTTTGCTGTGGTTGTTGTCTTGGTAGTGCCCGCTCTTGTTCATGTGAACTGTCAGCTCAACCAGAGTGTCATAAGCAGCGCTGCAGTCCTTGCAGCGAAATCGGCTGGCTCCCGTGAACACCGAGCCACAGGGTTTGGTGGTTTGCCTGTAGAGGTGCACAGAGCTAAAGAGGTTGGGTTTGGTTGCAGGCTTTGGGGAGAGTGTCTGCTGCAAGGTCTTAGAGAGCGCGTCCTGGTGCCAGTCGAACTCACTCTTGGTGCTTCCATTGGTGCTGTCACAGTTGGCTTTGCTGGTGTTTTTGCCAATTTTCAAGTCCATTCCTATCCCCGTCCAATAAGAATCCGCGAGAAAGTTTGCATAGGCCGCCCTCATTTTCTCTAAGCTGCTGCCCGTCTCTTCTTTATGCTTGGCGGTGCTGCTTTCTTCGTCTCGCTGGCTCTCAGGTGGCGATGAGGTTTTGAAGTCCGAGAGCCTGTCACTGCTGTCGCTAAGGCGCGATTCCAACTCTGCCTCTTGATTGGAAAGGACACTAATGGGAGAGTTCTGGTTGCTGTAAGTGTTAGTGCTCTTGTTGTCGAGCTCTCTGTCCTCAGACACTTTGGGGCTGGTCTTCTCCGAGCATTCCTCTTCAGTCTGAGTGTCGTTATCTCCGTCTTCTTCAGCGATGGAATCCTGAAGAGCGGCATCTTCATCGGGCACGTACACTAAAAAAGCAAGAGAGATATAACATTAAAAACACACTGTGAAACCACAGTTTCGTTAATTTATAATTTCTAAACAATCTATACAGTGAAAGCAAAAGTCATTCCAGAAAGCATAATGGCGATTGCCTTGTGCCTTGGGAGGCGGCTGAGTATAGGTGGACATAATGTTTCTGCTAACAGACTGCTGCTGGTGTAACAGCACCATTTGATTCACGACAGGCCATTGACTTAGCGCTGTGTCCAAGCTTTCCCTGGCCTCAAGTTGAGATGTTTACAACAATCATTGGCCACTGAGTGACAAAAGGAAATTGATTCTTCTGGGGCTTGTTGAGTGTTATTGCAAATGACCTATTCCACGGTGATTATAGATGCCTCAAAACTGCAATGAAAATGTAAGCCTGCTGTTCTGGATAACATCTTAGACTCCCTGAAGCCACTTGTGAGGAATGGCTTAACATAAACTGAGATATTATAACATCCCTCAGTGATTTAGAAATAAATTAAAAGCCATAGCTGAGAAAAATGAGACTATTCGGAATATTCTTTCAGCATTCTGTAATTTGACATCGGGCAACTGATTTTGTTGATAGCAAAAATAAAAGTATATTGTAAATACGGACACTGGTCCCGATGCAAATGTTGATCACGCTGGTGGAAAAAGTGATTCAATTATCAGTGCTAAAACCAGACAATTATACAAAATTTCAAAAGATTACTGGCAATCTGTCAAGTCATTATATTTTCCCTGACAGTCTCATAAACAGCAATTACTTCTTTCATTATTCACCTGTTCATTCTCTCAACTCATAGAGCACAAACATTATTGCTTCAATTAACAGATAATTAAACAACAGTATTTCTAATTGACACATTTCCCATCATCCAATTAGTGGAAACTCTGACTCAGCACAGAGCCGTGGCTGCAGGGTCTGCGTGGCATATGAAGACGGCTACAGAAGATTATTACAACCTTTCTGACAATAACTGTTTCTGATTATTTTAAATCTAACTACCTGGCAACCCACGCCAACAATATCGCAAACAAAGTTTGCATATCTGTTGAAGACATCCTGCAGTAAATGCAGTTTGTCAGTGTTGTCACACATCTGAGATATTTTCCGCCTCGTAGTCGTGCTGGAAAATGTGCATTTTGGGAGAGACGCGGCAGATGTGCTCCGAGTTAAATATGAATAGGACATAACAGCCCTGTCCAGGCACTTATGCATTTCATGTGGTTAATATTTCTGTTCTGAATAAAGGGGCACTCCATGAGGGGATGACTGAAGCCGAGCACTCAGAAGTCCCACACTGGGCAGCCCATAGAATGTCTTCGTCTTCTCTGCCTTCTGAAAGTACGACTTTTTTATTATCAATATTTCACAAGTGCCTCAAGAGAAACCCGGGAGATGAACTGCTTGCTAGCTAATGGATGGAGATGGAGATGGGATTCGGACTTTCAAAACAAACATCGAGCACAGGGCCTGGCGAACAAGAGCCTGTACACACACACACACACACAGACTCAAGAGCCCCTATGTGCTGTGACCTTGATCTACCGCAAGAGAAATGTTTTGATTGGCCAGCCGAGGTCTGTGATGGCCTCCGAAACACCCTTGATGCTAAGGGAGAGAGTTGTCAAGAGCACAGAGGTATGTTTTATTTATAGTCTTATATATAGTATTCACAGTGAAGGAGAACACCAATGGCTTTGACAAGCAGCCAGTTGATGTCATCTCTCTTCAAAGTCATCACTAAAGCTGAAAGTATAGCAAGAATGTTCACCAAAGTGGGGAGAACAGTATTTTCCAGTCTGGTGGTGGTTAAAGGAAAATTGTTCACTCCTTGATCAGACCATAATTTACGGTGCAGGCCATTTTCTGCACATCTCCTGTGCCTAGAAATTTACTGCCCTCTTAGTAAAATAATTGTGCATTTGACAAAGAAGGGATAAACACTGGGTTCCTGGAAATACGACAAAGCTATACCGACTTTAATGTGAATGTTTGTCCTCATCTTAGTATTTGAGGATGAAATTGACAGAGATTAACAGCTGCCCTTCCTGCTGTTGTATGCCTTTCTATCAGATGACCCGAGTAGCAGACATCCTGAGGCACCAATTAACCTTCTAGAGGGGATCATTCCAAGATACCCACATGTCTAACTCCGCTTCTCCCACCATTTGTAACTGTGCTTTGCCAGCTCTTGATCTACCACAGAACTGCTGCCATGCCAAGCTGCATTACTCTTTAATCCAAGAGCACACTCAAGGACAATGTGAAAACAACCAAACACCTACAAGAGTGATCATTGTATTGTGACATGTTTGTCAAGTGATACGCTTCATAAAGCAGCACTGTTCAAAGCATAAGCACTAAGTTGTGTATCATCTTGTAAAACAATAGTGAACAGCTATTTCTAGTTCTTGGGCACAGTTCTTGTTTTTTCATAAATCAGAAAGAATAAGAAATGCTGGCTTTGAAAATGTTGTCTCGGAGTCCGAACGAGGCAACTCGTAGCCCAGCTAGCCTTAGAAAACAAGAGGCTGGCATGCCTTGCTTGAGATTTAGCATGTCATAAACTGCTGTAAAGCCTCCAATCTGTGTCACTACAAATTTATATCTTCAGACAGAGATATGCAAAGGTCAAAAAACCTGAGGTGTCCATCATAAATCAGACGGTTGAAGTGTTTATAACCTTTATCCGTTAGAACAGACTCTTGGCATAGCGAGGCTGGGATTTACAGAAGCGGCAGCCTGTTTCTGAGCCAAAAGCTTTTTCCCCATACATCCAGAGAAAAACAGCTAACTGCACAGAAAATAATAGATTATATTTACTGCTACCTTCATGGTGGCATGCTGTCCAACAGGGCCGGTGTTAAAAGCGTACATGAGATTATATTTACAACTCAACTTTTCAGCATTAGTATCTTCATCGAGCGAAATCCCCTCTCCCAGAGGAAGTGAGTCTATTCAAAATGCGTCAGTCATTGTAGAAATGTATGTGACAGCTGTAAAAGGGCATTCTGTTTCCGATATTAACATGCCAGGAGAAACTTTTGTAATGGTGAGAACATCAACATTTATCCCTTGGAAGGTCAACATTTCCTTCATTAATCTGACAAGCCACAGAGAGTTAGCAGCCCGAGGAGCTTAGCTAATGGACAGCTGCAATACCCATCGCAGGACTTTGTGAGTATCCGAGGTAACACTATCTTCAGAGAAGATTGGGTAATTCATAGGTGCCAGTGACAGGTCTGCACGTCTGCGCCACTTTCCCCAGTGCTCCCCGGTTGTCTCAAGCTACAGTTTTTGCTGCTCGCAAATCAATATCTCTTTTTACTTCTCATTGATTGCATAGCGGTGGGACCAACCTAAGCAGGACTGTTATGACATTTCTAGATTTCCCCCTGTCCTTGGAACAATCAATTACACGCGCATGGCAATCAAAACCTCTTTGCAAAATGAACCTGCTCCATGACATTTTCATCTCCCGGATTTATGCCACGTGAAGAGAAAAAAAAAGGGAAGAGAGAGAAGGAGATAGAGAGAGGCCTGCTGGACCGGCAGAGCACACAGTAACAACGCAGGTCAGGACTGAAGCTTCTCTCCGGGTCGTCTGTAAATGTAGTACTATGTATCTGTTTCCACTTTGTGCTTTCACTCACATCTAAGCAATGTACCCAGTTAACTGTAGCTTTACGTGGCGCAGCACTTAGTCACCGTCTGCTCATCTGTTGTTATAAATAGGTGGGAAATGTCACTCAGAAAGTACTTGCTGTACAAAACATAATTGCAAACAAAGTTGTGAAGTTTTTTCCTCTTTGTCAATGTTGGAAACAGCATGATGTGTTTATAAAAGTCACCACGATGCGATTTCTTCAGTGAGCTATCATTAGAATGAGACGCGCACATGCCACAAGGTTTAATATTTGACAGTGATATCTGACAAACTCGGTGAGAAGTGCACGTCAAGATCAAACAGATACATTGTCAGACATCCTGATGATAGTCCTGATGACACATCTGAAGTTAATTCTGAACTGAATCACATGAGAAACGGCGAAGACCTAATTCTGAGCCCCGAAGCCATCTGTAAAGATCTGTAAACACCTCTCTCTTCATTGTTCCCTGTCAGGAAACAGTCTCCCCGAGCCCAAGGACACTGCAGAGTAAAGAGAGAACAATCACACGCAGCCTGCTCCCTTTGACAAAATTTGTCTGGAGGTTAATTGATATCACAGAATGAAACAGTTTTTGAGTTGCTTTTAAATCAGAATGTGTCATTAGATCCTGTCTGACCTATTATTTAGTTTGAGCACTTTTGTGTTAAATGATTCCAACGATGCAGTTAACAGACTTGGAAACTGTGCAGACAGACTGAGTCTTTATCGTGTTGTATTTAGCTGCAAACAGTTATTAAGAATACTGCAAAAAATATATAAAAGACTAGATAATGTGAAGTGGCTTTAAAAGCAGCCACGAGTCCCTGCAAAGTAGTTTTGCTGGATCTTTCTCAGGCTTTGTCTAGAAATCCATGAGACAGAAACACTGTTGTTAATTTTTGTATGCATGAAGGAGATGTAACTTAAAGCGCATTACGTACTTGACTAAACACAAGCTATTCATGCAGATAAATGCCTTGCTTTCATCCACCCTCAACTTTAATATTTAATAGTCTAATATAATCAAATAAAAACTGGAAGCTCAAAAAAGACACGGACAACTTGAGGACAGATTGTGAACACAACAAATGGCACAATGTGCTCAGATGGACCCGGAGCCAGATTAATATGATAGGATCGCAAATATGACACCATATCCTGCCATCTGGCTGTTCATTTGGGCAAAAATGATCACAATAATTATGGCAATTAATCAAAAATGTTTTCACAACCAACATTCTGTTAACTAAAAACACAGAGAACTTTGGAATGCACAATCGCTAATAAACACACACACACTCACGCGCACAAGTCGCACAGCTTTCGAGCATGTTTAGTT